AAAATGAGTAGTTTTAACTACTTTTTTTTTTAGTAAGGAAGACACGAAACTAGTAAAATGAGTAGTTTTAACTCTCATTTTTTCCAAGAAAGACACGGAACTAGTAAAGTGAGTAGTTTAACTTTCATTTTTTTACAAGGAAGCACGAAACTAGTAAATGAGTAGATTTAACTCTCTTTTTTTTTACAATGAAGCACGGAACTAGTAAAGTGAGTAGTTTTAACTATATTTCCAATGTAGCTCACTCGTTTCTCCAAAAGACCATGGATAAATATGTAATATTTGAATGTAGTAGCACAACTTTTACTACTTAAAACGTTTCAGTTTTGTCGACTTGGTTATTTTTATTGGATGATAATTATTCTAATTCAAGAATAAACAGGTTTTTCTTTCTTTCGTTAGATAATATGTGATATATTACTGTAATAAACATAGATTCTTAACAGCATGTATTGGCCAAACTGACAAGTGGACAGGAGTTTCACGACACCGAATATCTTTCGATAAGGTTTGTTTTAGGCTTAACGTAATGTGATCATTTACAACCAAGATCTTATGTTGAGTCTTATATAATATGACAAGTAAGAATTCCCAACTTGATCTAAAACAAATGTTAGAGCCTAAACTTACCAAAAAACAAAAACAAACTCGTTATTTAAATTCGACCGCTCTAGAATCGGTGCAATGTATTGAACAAAACACAAAACAGTTAAGCCTAAAAACTAGGAACCTTGAATACAGTTTACGCCTCTTGCTTCTTCCCATTGCACTGAAACAAGTAATACACAAAATATAATTTAATTATAACATATAACATAACATAATGTTTTGGGGACAACATGGGACCTATTAGTCTATCTCGGCTGTTCCATCCTCTAAACTAAATTAAAATATTATTAACAAAATCTTAAAGTCAGCCTTTATCATTTATATACTTATCAAGCTTTTTCTTAAACTCACATAAATTTAATTCCTCTGCAACATCTGAAGGCAACCCATTCCAAAGGCCAACCACCCTGTTAGAAAAATGAAACTGTCTTAGCTGAAGATGACTTGTACCTTGCCAAAATTTATATTTGTGTCCTAGCCCTACTATTCTCATTGTTAAACATGAAAAAAATGATGCTTCAACACTATCAATTCCCTAACCCTTCTTTTTTCAAGAGAAAACAATTTGAAAGATTTCAGCCTCTGCTGGTATGACAACCTCTCCATCCCAGGCACCATTCTAGTAACCCTTCTCTGAACCATTTCCCACAATTTAATGACTTTCCTAAGGTAAGGAGCCCAAGACTGAACACAGTGACCTGTACAATGAAATTATAACCCCTTTAGACGTGTATTCAATATTTCTGTAGATACAACCTAAAATCCTATTTGCCCTACCACTAACAACAGCATGCTACTTGGATGGCTTTAGAGACTGATCGACTATTTCATCAAGATCCCTTTCCTGTTAAGGTTATTCCCATCCAAATTATACTTATATTTCAAATTATGATAACGTACATCATGCATTATCTTGCAATTATTATAATTAAAACCCATCTGCCATATACTTGCCCAACTCCCTAAATGATCTAAATCCTTTTATAAATCAGCATCATCCTCTTCACAGCTAGCAACATCCAAGACCTTAATATCATCTGCAAATTTAAGTAATTTATTGACTATTCCTTCATCTATACCATTGATGTAAATAAAAAAGAACAAAGGTCCTTAGACTGAGCCCTGAGGTACCCCACTTGTGACATTAATCCAGTTTGACTGAACTCCATTTGTAACAACCCTCTACTTTCTTCCATCCAGCCATTCTTCTGTCCAATTTGCTAACTTATCCCCCACACCTATAGAGATAATTCTTTTTACAAGCCTTTTATGTGGGACCTTGTCAAATGCTTTCTGAAAATCCAGATACACCAAATCTACACCCTTACCCTCTTCAGCATAAGCAGTAACCTTTTCAAAGAATGTCAAAAGATTTGTAAAGCAAGATTTTTCTTTAGTGAAACCATGTTGATTATGCAATAAGATTCTAAACTTTATTAAATGACTTTGCAAAGTATCTTTTAACAGACTTTCTAAAACTTTTCCCACAACTGATGTAAGACTAATGGGTCTATAATTACTGGGACAATTTTTATCACTTCCCTTGAAATAGGGAGCTAAAAGTAAAAGTAAAAGTAAAAGCTAAGAGTAAAAATTGAAGAAAAAAGCAGAATTTAATAACCAAGTGTGAGCGGAGGTAAGTATGTTTTGGAAGTTAACATTTTCTTAAATTGAAAATGTATTTCCAATAATACTAAGCCCTCTCACACTCTCCTACCCTTCCTCCCCACTAAAAGCCGGTGTTAGAGAATGTGGTGTCAGTCTTGAAAAAGTGATAAAATTATCTGAATGAGGTGCTTATATACAGTATCAGGATAGAAGGTGTATTGACGTAGGTGGAGAATTTCACAAGACAAATATCGCCAAGGGTAATTAAGTGGAGTATAAAAGACTGGAGCAAGGGAAGTCGAGCAATAGCTGTAATTGTGAGTAGAGGTAAGTATCATTGGAAATACATTTTCGATTTAAGAAAATGTTAACATTTATTTTTATTGATGCCACAGATTTATTTTCAACTATTAGAATAAACTTAGGATTTAATTGCAAATTTTTGCAAAAAAAAAAAAAATGTTTCAGTCTTGTTAAATGTTTTTTCCTGTCATAAACCTATTGATCTGAGCTTTAGGTGTTGTTCTTGTCAGCTGATTGCTACTAACTCTGCTGTTTACCTTACCTTGCAGAAAACTATAGGCTAGAGGAAACCTTCCAGAATCATCTAATTATCAAATTAGTTCTGGTTTGTACTAAAGTAGTACTATAACTAACTACAGTTTTATTGGTTTTTGTGTACATGCAGTGTTTTCCTTGGTTTTGCATCTGTTTTGTCTTGCAAAGCTTGGAAGAATGTTTTTTGTTTAATCCAATTAGTCTGTTTGTTTTTTTGCCAACATTTCTTTGATGTCTGAAATAGTTTAAGAACACTAACAACCTAGCTAGTGTATATATAATAAATGCTGTTTAAAACAGTATTTGACAACTAGCTTCAAGTTAGCTATGAAACATTATAATAATGTTTTTGAAACTTCAAACAAAATGAATTAAACCAGATTTAAAGATATCTTCAATGCTACAGTGCATTTTATATGGTAATTTTAAAGTCTGAAACAACCAATACAATATTGCTACTTTATATAAAGGTGTTTTTTTAGCAACTTTAGTACCTTATTTTTAATCATTGTAAACTTCACAAGCTGTTTTCAAGTTCTAGTGGTTTTTACCATATTCTTTAACATAATTTTTTCTATATTTTCTAAACATGGAAATTTCTAGTTTCTTTCATCTGTTGTTCAAAATATTAATTAATTAATTACCTGTTGTTAGATTGTGTAATATTCCATGTTATAAAAACATCTGAAAACCTCTGCCAAATTCTAACCAAGCTTGTTATGGATATACACGATTGATTCGATTATAAAAGGAAACAACCTTGTTAACAGCTGTTTTAAACCTTTCCTTCAGTATGCATTTCTCTATCTGACAGCATATGGCGTTGCCGAAATCTCTGTCTGTTTTTATTCTGTCCCCTCAGAGAACTATAGACTGGAAGAAGAGTTTTCAAACCACATGATTGTCTAAATTGTGGTGGTTAGTATCTTTTAATTTTCTGAAATATACCCCAAGCAACAGTAGCTTTTACTATACATTACTGCTTCCTTAACATGCATGGCTTAGTTTGCACAAGTAGTTGATAGCTTGTAGCTGTCTTTGTGCACTTTTGTCCATTAATAGCATCCTTGGTAACTGATACAGAAATGACACCTTAATTAAAACATCCATAAAAATCATACTTGGTGTAGTCAACATACATGTATATACACTCGTACATTTAATACTTGTGAAGATTCAGTCTGAATATTTCACCATTATATAATCTCCTTAGTTATTTATTTATGTCTCAAAATTAAGAAGAAATAATGTATCACACACAGAGGCATGAAAGTAACGTTGTAATCATGATTTAAAAAAAAAAGTGTTTTCAGACCATTCAGAAAGCTTTGCAGTTAGTTTTTTGACTTGTTAAATAAAACTACTATTGTGAATTTTGATGTGAATGATTATGTAAGATCTAATCATGTCCCGAGGGATGTTACTTTTCATGTGTTTATTGGTTCAAAACTCAGTTAATAGAAGATTTGTTAGTTTACTGGACATTGTATAGTGAGCGTCATTTTCACGAGTTGATTGATTGACTATTGATAATTATTCTAGTTTGGTAATGAAGTTATATGTTTCTTGTAAACAATAATATTCATATGATGAGATCCTTTTGTGAAGTCTGTTTTTAGCATTCTAAGTTACTTTTTGCAGACTGTAACCTTCAAAGATGTGTTGACTCTAATTTTATTAGTTAACGGTTATCTGTAAAACTTGTACTACATGAACTTTTGAGAGTTGTGGAAGGTGCTGTAAATATGACTTCTGAGAGTCAGTTTTTAAAAAATTTTTAAACCGTAAAACATGGCCTTTCCCCCTTCTTTTCTTGACTTTAATCTTTGTTTTTTACCAGTTTTGGGGGCTAGTTTTCAGCTGCAGATAGAATTATTCATTAAAATTATACATTACTTTAAGTTATGTAATACATACATTGATTGATAGTAAGGTTGTTTAATTAAGTTTTATAAAAGTTCATGACGTGTATTTTTATTTGACACAGGAATTATATTCCGTTATCCATTGTTTTAAGAATGACCAGTAAAGATTCAAAGGATAATAAATATCAATTGAAGACATTCCTTGCATAAAATATTTCACTCATTATTAATCATTCTGCTCAGTTAGAATCAGATATAGTTTTCACATACGTATCTATATTGTATATTTGTTTTCATTTTAATATAACATGTCTACAAACTGTCTATGAATTCAATTATATTGCATCAGTTTCACTTTGGCATTGTACTTTATTTACTGCTTGGTATTTCAAAATCCTGTATATACCTTTGTTTGGTCATATAATATTTTTGATACAGACTACTCTGTTACCAGAGTGGAAAAAGCTGCATCAAATACATAAATTAATGAAAGAATCAGTTATCAGTAGAATGTAAAAAACTGCATCAAATACATAAATTAATGAAAGAATCAGTTACCAGTGGAATGTAAAAAGCTGCACCAAATACATAAATTAATGAAAGAATCAGTTACCAGTGGAATGTAAAAAGCTGCACCAAATACATAAATTAATGAAAGTATCAGTTACCAGTGGAATGTAAAAAGCTGCATCAAATACATAAATTAATGAAAGTATCAGTTACCAGTGGAATGTAAAAAGCTGCATCAAATACATAAATTAATGAAAGTATCAGTTACCAGTGGAATGTAAAAAGCTGCATCAAATACATAAGTT